TCCTGGGAAAACTAACGGACGAGCCTGTCAAAACGCCGGCGAGGAGAAATCCATCAAACCCAGGAATAAAAGGCTCCGGATCCCCACGGGGGTCCCTGCCCTCACACACTCCTGGCTCTCAATGAGCCACGCTGCAACATCCAAGGTCTTCTTGCCTCCGTGGGACCAGCTTCCATAGGCGCCAACAGGAATAACCCCGCAGCCTCACTCCTATAGAGCAGCTTAAGCACTGCAGGGCTTAATCTTTAAAACTCCCCTCCCCAAAAGGTCTGTAATAGGTTTGGGGCGCTCAGGAAGGGCAGCAGAAGGTGGGTTTTGGCTTGCAGGCACCTTGCAGAGCCCTTGCTGGGGGGCAATGGGAAGGTCCCCTTGGTCCAACCACCCTTGGGTTTGGCTTTCCCCATATAAGTGTATGCTCAGTCCCATTATAGCATCCTTAATGCCTCTTTCTTGCTCCGAGGGCTCTCCCTGGCCTCACGCTGGGGCTGCCCGAGGTGTCTCCCATCCCTGCTTACGCAGGCTTGGCCCAGAGGAGAGGTGACTCAAGGGAAGAGGAGGAACGGGGCTGGAAGCAGCGAGCTTTGTGGCACCATGGAAATGAGATGCAAAGCAGGGGGGTGTTTGTATTTTTAGCCCTTTAAGGCTGCACAGGTGTTTGAAAGGTCAGAGGTGAGTCATTGGAACAAAAGCTATCTTGAGTCCCCGGTGCTGATGCTGCCATGGTGCCCACTGGACATTTGGCTCTGTTGTAACCGTGATGTTCAGCCCATCACTGATGGGTGCGGGTGCTGTGTGACCCCCAGGCCCTCCTGGGGGGCCCGACCCAACCTTAGCACCCAACAGGGAACCTCATTGTTGGTTGCTCAACCCCTGCCTGCCTCAGGGCTGAGGGGGGAACACCCCGGGTTGGTTCAGAGCTGGTTGGGCCATGCTGAGCTCTGTGTGTCCTTATCCTTGCGCACGAGGCCATCGTCCCACCTTGGACACAGGGGCTTGGAGCAAGCTGCTCCAGTGGAAGGGGTCCCTGCCCGTGGCAGAGCTTGGAGCTGGAGGAGCTCTGAGGTCCCTTCCAACCCAAACCATTCCATGGTTCTATTATGAGTGGCTTGGGGAGGAGGCGAGTGCAGAGAGGCTTCCAGTGGTGGCGAGGCTTTTTCCACAAGGAATTTCCCTCTCCTCCACCCCCGTTTTCAAGGAATAAAGGACATTTGTCATCCTCAGAAACCATTTCATGCGGTTCCAATTAGTTGCTGAAGCAGAAATTGAAGGGCACAGGAAGAAGGGGCTGTCTCTTGGGAAGGATGCAGATGATGTCTCTTGAGTGTAGACCTGGACCATGACCACCCTGGGACTTGGCCATGGTGAACCTCACCATCAGCTTGGCCATGAGCAACCTGTGCCACGACCACCTTCGATCCTGGCCATGGCCAACCCAGGCGTGGTGCTGGCCAAGCTCATGGCCAGAGCTGGCATCCCACCAGTGCTCATCCCTGTTGCCAGTGGGGTGGTTTCCCTCTCCCCTCTCCAAGGTCACTGGGATGGGGCAGGGATGAGCTCCTCCCAACTGGGTCACAGCAAAGGGAAATGGAGCCCATGAGGTGAGACCCTCCCTGCACAGGCTCCTAATGGCCCAAAGGAGGGATGGGCAGAGCGGGGCTGGCAGCTGGGACAGCCTTGGCTGAGCAATGGAGCCTTTGCTGGCTCTTTTAGCTGAAGAACCCCCCCCAAAATAGCATCTGAAACCAATAAACTTCCCTTTCAGGAACTTCTGTAATTTGAAACAACACAAGAACACGCACAAAGGAATCAGATGAGGTCGTGTGCTGTTGGTCAGGCAGAAGCCACGGCTCTGGGGTCGAGCGCACCTTGGGTGCTGGGTGGGGAGCGCTGGGGCCAGCAGCACCCAGAGCCACCCCTGTGGCCTCCCAGGGCTCCTCAAGGTGCCTCCCCCCCCCCCCTTCCCTCCCTTCTGACGCAGGGTCCCAGCGCCTTGCGTCACCCACCCCAACCCAGCTGATGCTGCAGAAGAAAAGCAGCCAAAAATACCCCTGCTTGGGTCAGCAGCGAGAGCTCTGCGGCCACAATCACGGATCACGGCTTGGGGAGCGCGGGTGGCATCACCAGAGCTTCCAAACGGGATGCAGTGGGATGCTGGGGATGAAGGGGGGGAAGCAGCATCAAAATGGGGATGTGGGTGCTCGGGTTTGGTCATGGAATGGTTTGGGTTGAAGGGAGCTTAAAGCTCCTCCAGCTCCAACCCCTGCCACGGGCAGGGACCCCTTCCACTGGAGCAGCTTGCTCCAAGCCCCTGTGTCCAACCTGGCCTTGAACACTGCCAGGGATGGGGCAGCCACAGCTTCTCTGGGCACCCTGTGCCAGCGCCTCAGCACCCTCACAGGGAAGAGCTTCTGCCTAAGAGCTCAGCTCAGTCTCCCCTGTTCTGGCAGGTCCAAGCCATTCCCCTTGCCCTGTCCCTCCATGTGCTGAAAGCCAGATTGGAGCCACCTCAGCACAACCTGATGCTATCACTTACCTGCCTCTTGCTGCAGAGATAGAGCACGTGGAGGGGTAGCAGGGCTGGAAGCATCCTCCCCTTTCTCCCCAGGCTGCCTGGCCATCGGCTGGGGGGTACAGAAGTGGGATGGAGAGGCAAGGCAGGAGGAAGAGGGGACGGCAGCTTCACATGGGCCGATTGATTCCACTTCAGAGCTATAAAAGCAAAAACTATTTAAAAGAATAAAGTAAAAAATAACATAAGCCATAAACCACATGTAAATAATACACAAATAATGAAAGAACCCCCCCTGCCCCCCCAACTCCTTCAATAGCTGGGACAGGCAGGGCCCAGGAAGGTGCCCAGCAGTGGGGTTGGAGGCCACTGATGCAGCCCAGGGCTGCGGAACCCCATAAATGTGGGGAAAAGGCAAAGAAAGAAGAGGAAAAGCCCAGCCCAACCCAGCCCCAAGGCGCTCGGAGCTGGGGCAGCAGGGATGCTGCTCGTGGGTTTGGGAACAGCATCTAAATGTGAGCCTTGGGTGCCATGGTTTAGTGTGGGGTGTCCCTGCCCATGGCAGGGGGCTGCACCTGGATGATCTTAAGGCCCTTTCCAACCCAAACCATTCCATGACTCTATGAAACATCCCCCCCCCAAGCCCCCAAAGGAAAGAGCACCCGTGACCAACAGTTGGAAGTTTTTATTCATATAAAACTCATATTAAGAACATAAAAGATTGCATCTTAAAAAACAAACCAACCCAAAACAGATCTGCAATTATTTACAGCAGTATTGCACAAGTAAATGGCAATTACCCTGTCCAAAATTCATCAGTGCAAACCACAAGGAAGCCAGGGAAATTGCAGTCAAAATGCTACATACGCTGGGTCCTGTGACAGGAGTTAGTGATTCATCAGCACATCAGGTGCTGGCTGGTACCTGATGTTAATGCTGGGCCGGGGAGAAGCGGCCGAGATGGAGGAGAACGTGGCTTTGGGAAGAAAGGGATGCTGAAGCCAAACTCCCACTAATTCCACCAATGCTGGAGTCCCATGGGCCTAAATCACTGCTGGGAAGTGGGATTTAGGCACTTGGAGGGGAAGAAACCAGAGTAAATCTCATTCTCCAACCCACGTTGGCTGCACCGCCGAGAGGAGGCAGCGCTCTGGGAGGTGATCCATCACTTATTGCAAGGGCAGGGAGGAGAGAAGGGGAGAACCAACATCTTTACAGGAACTTAAATAAGCAGGAAATAAATATACACCATTTCTACAAGTTACAGCATTATGGAACAGTAGAGTGCATTAATTACACAGGAGAAAGAGAATCTACAGTATTTACTCTAAAAAGGTTTAGAAAAGGTGATTTTTTGGAAGCTCTTTTTACCTCTTTGATAAGCTGCACAAAACTGACACGAGAGAGGAAAGGGAATACATTGCACACAGATGCCTGGCTCAGATGATGAAAGGAATACGCTACCCTACTCTAATAAATACTCAGGTATTTACAGCCCTGGGGAAGAGGAGAAGCGTTAACGCAGCACCGGCAGTAAATCTGGTTTCCCTGCGACCAAGGAAAGCTTCAGCACATCCTTTTGGTAGGACAGAGACCTCGGCTACCCATAAAACAACCCAGAGCGGTCACCCAACAGGGCTAAAACGAGCCAAAGCCCCAGTTAAAAGCATCAGTCTTCTCATTGGTTTTCCCCCTAAACCTCCCAACGCCATGGGGTGAAACCTGGTTTTTGGGGGGGGCAAATCTTCCTTTGCCTGCCTTTTGGCCGGGAACACCTCCTGTGGAGAGGCCCCAGGCAGACAGTGACAATACTTTATTAATCCTCTTAAAACTACTCCCATCTCTGTCTCCATCCCTGGCTGGCGCGGCCGGTGGGGAGGACAGGATAAAGTGCACGGCATTTCTTTGGTGTACTCCAAGGGACACATTCTGGGGATGCTGTAAGGCTGCGAGACCTGAAAGCACCGTTCCAGCCACCAGCAGGGGATGAAACCACTGGGGAGGGAGAAAAAGCTCCCTTGGTTCTCCCCCCTCCCGCCTCTGCTGCCGAAATTCATCTATGGTTTTTTGCCTTTCAATGCTATCAACAGCCACGCAGTTCCATGGAGGCTCCCGTGGGAAACGTGCTGCTGGGGTCCCCTATATAAACCCCACCGAAGTGATGGCTCAAGAAGGGCTGGGGCAGCGCAGCTACAGCGAGCCAAAACCAAGGGCTCGAGGAGCAGGAAGCTCACCGGTTCAACCGCTCCCTCTCCACCAGTGCAAAGATCCCCCTGCACCTTCCCAACGCATCCCCTGCTCCTGCAACCGCTGCTGGCCCTGCAGGTCCGAACAAACCAGAGGGAAAGGTAATAAATGGAAAGTTAAGAGTTAACGCTGCTCTGCACTCCTGCACTGGGGTGCAGCCGCAGCGCACCGACACCACGGCCCTTTGCCTACCCGGCAGGCACAGCCACGGAGGTCGGACTGTCCAGCATGAAAACCACTACGTGGCACTCCACGGCTTCCCCCTGCACGTGTGCAGCAGGAAAAACCGCTCCTGGATGCTTGGGCTTTTCCTTCTTTCCTTCATTCCTATGGTGCTGGTGAAACCAGAGATAAAACCGCGGCGTCTGGGTGTGTTTGGGGACCACCTGCACCAGCCAGAGGGAAAGGGCAGCTCCAGAGGCAGAGAGGGGTACGTTTGTGCATAGATATGGGGGTGGCTGCAGCAGTCACCCCCCAACAGCACCCACCGTGCAGCAGCCACCCGCCTTGCAAGGTGAACCGGAGGCAATGGGGAGGCTGAGGAGACGGACCTGCTTCTTCCAACAGCCCTCCAGCAAGGCTGTGGGGTGCTCCAGGGGGAAGAGGAGATGCCCTGGGACAGCACTAAGCACCTGGTTGGGTCTTCCCAGGGGAAGGAGGGTGGTTTGGAAGCAGTTAATGGATCTATACCAGGTCAGCATCCTTCGGCGTCTCTTCCAGCTGCATCCCTGCGCGCCAGCATCCAAGGTCTTGCTGCTGGTCCTGTCCTCATCCCACTGCTCCAGGCTGCCCTGTCCGAAACACAGAGAGGATCCCAGGAATAATACAGATATCCAGCGCCTTAAAACCCCTCCTGGCTTCAACAGCAAGGGACCAGCCATGACTTAAAATAATGTTAAAGAGCAGGAGCCGTTGTCTCCGGGTGCAAAGCTGCAGCGCGCTGGGAACTGTTTCTACCTGCCTCCGGTACGTCTTATTGCTGACTGAGTCACCAACGTTCTCTATTATATCATACAATATATGAGCATTTGCACACATCTGATAGAAAGAACTTCTCAATAAAGGCAACCTGGTGGATTGGGGTTTTGGTTGGGTGGGATTTTGGACCCTGGGAATCTGACAGCTGAGTCCTGAAATCAGAGTGAAAACTAAAACACAGGTATAAAACAAAGGTCGGTCAGCAGGAAATAGGCCGTTTGCGTGATGCAAATGAACGTGGATCTGGGGAAGCATTAGGTATTTACAGGGAAAAGAAGTGCTGATTGGAAGCCCTCTGCCCTTCTTCCATCATCGCCATCCTTCTTCCGCAGGCAAAGGGAGAGGGGAGGGCTCCGTGAGTCTCTGCAAGGCAAACTAAGGCAGCTCTGCCCATCAGCTGGCTCAGGTTTTCCTTTTCCCCACTGCAGGGTTTATCCCGGAGAAGCCGATGGGTTTCCAGGAACGACGCCAAGGAAACGCCGTTATCCCACTGCTGTGGAGGGTTTTCTCTGAGGCTCCTTTGGGAGAATAAAAAGGTCATAAAACAGAGCGGAGAGGAAGCAGTAAACATCACTGCCGGACACAGTCCTGCTCTGGAGATTCCCAGCTCCGTGCGGGATGCCCACCCGCATCCGACAGCCCCACCATGGGTCCTGGGGAGAGGCAGGATGGGAGCCGGGTGGTGCAGGGAGCCCCGCATCCATCCATCCATCCGTTCATCCATGCATCCGTCCTCCCGGGGCTTTCCCAATGGGAACACAAGTCCTCGGGACGCGCCCGGCGCTCACTGCATCCTCCAGATGAGGCGGATGATGTAACGCAGGAGGCGCAAAATGACGACCTGGGGGTTTCCTGCCGGGTTATCCAAGAAACCCTGAAACCAAAGAGGAGGAAAAGCAACGTAAGCACGGGCACGACGGCGAACAAGGCCCCCCTGCCACAAACAGAGACGTTTCCAAGCATTTCAGGAAGCATTTAAACACCCTTTCATGTTCTCCTGCAATAGGAAGCTTTGTAACACTCAACGAGTCAAAGCCGCCCGCTCCCAGCCATGGGGATGTCACCTGCAGGTCCCTGCACAGGGGGTGCACGATGCTGCTGGGAGGGCTTGGAACGTGGTGAAGGAGCAGGAAATCCTGTGAGCACAGCTTCAAAACCCAGGCAGGGATGGTGCCCCTGCGCTGGGCACTGTGATGGGGAAGGGCTGAGGGACCTGGGGGGTTCAGTGTGGAGAAGAGAAGGCTCAGGGGGGACCTGATGGCTCCCTACAACTGCCTGAGAGGAGGATGGAGCCAGGAGGGGCTGGGCTCTGCTCCCAAGGAACAAGGGATGGGACAAGAGGAAACGGCCTCAAGCTGCACCAGGGCAGGTTTAGATGGAGCTGAGGAACAATTCCTGCCCCAGAAGGTTGGGCTGGATGAGCTTAAAGGGCTTTTCCCACCTGGTTGATTCCGTGATTCTAACTAACTAAATAAGGGTAAATAATAATAATTAAAAACTCCTAATTAAAACCCTAATTCAAAATCCAACCCAAATATAAATGCATATCTATACGTGGGGAGAGCAGCAGCAGCTCCTGCGCAGGCACTGGTTCGAGGTCGCTCTGCTCCAGGCACAGCCGCTGCCTCTTTCACACAACACAGCAGCAAAACACACCCTCCCCGAGCAAGGGACCCCAACAGCACGCAGGGCAAGGAGAAAGGAATCACCACCAGATACCATTTATCTCAAGCCTTTTTTCCTACGGTGAAAGAGCAGCCCAGAGAACCACCCCTCCCTCCGCCTCCCCACACAGCCCGATTCGGGCTATATTTAGTGCAGTAAAATCATGTCCGTACATGCCCCAGACAGAGAAATGCCTCTGTTTACTCTGATATGCAAACTGCCCTCCCCACAGGCGGCCCTGCAGCGGGGCCCTGTTGCCATGGGGAGATGATGCTGAGCATCCTCTCACCCCAGCGCATCCCTGCGCCCCAGGACATCGCATCCCAGCACCCACGAGTGGGATTTACCCACCCGGGAGCTGCACCCCCCCACCCCACACAACTTCCTTTCTCCTCTAACTTACACAGTAGAGGGCCCACAGATAATACAGGAGGCACTGGATCACCCTGTTTTGCTCTAATCCCAATGGGATCTGGCTGTTCATCCAGCTCACCACACGGAGCAAGGAAAGAAACCGGTACAAAACCCCAAGAGGCTTAGAGAAGGGTGCAAGAAACATGCCCAAAGTGGGTTTTCCTTAACAAAGAGGTATAAAACCAGCATTAAGGAGTTGCACTTTCCACCTCTGCAGGCAGCAAAGCCTGAGGCATGTCACAGCACCCAAGTGATGCACCCTCTGCCAGCAAAAGCCTCAGAGCGGAGCTGCTCCCCACAGCCAAGGGGTCCCTGCGGCCATCCCCGCTCACCGGACCCAGGAGCTCTGCCAGGCCAAAGAGGAGCGAGCCGTCCCCTGCCCAAGAGATGCTCCCAGGGGCAGTGACTCGGGATGGGGAACAGGATGAGGAACGCGCGACCAGTTCGACAGCTCCGACCTGCCCAGCAAGTGCGGTTCTGGCAGGGCTCAGAGTTCCCCATTTCTAACCTCAGCCTTAAAGGGCAAAGCCCGGCAGTGCCGCGGGCACGTGCTGCTGCACACCGCGCCCCACCAAGCCCTCCTGCGCAAGGGACCCAGCTCTGCACAGATCCCCCCTCTCCGCAGCAACCCCAGAAGGAAAAGACCTGCGCACAAAGCAAGCACTTCGGGGCGGCTCTACAGCAACTGCCCTGAATCCTCCCGTTTCTGGGTGCGACAAGCGAGAAAGCCAGGGGCTAAGGCAGCCGGGTACAAAGTGCTTTGAGGGTCATGCATGACAGCCTCTGCTCGTGTCATCCAGCAAGGACGTGGTCCCCTGTGTTTCAGTGCTCTCCTCAGGGCAGCAGGATGGGAGCTTGGCCATGGCACTGGGAGCTGCCTCAAGCAAACCGGGGTCATGCTCTGTGACTGGGAACCAGCCCCCCATCCTGCTGCTGGTACATCCAGCTCCTTGGACCAGTGGGGAAAAACCTTCTTCAGCCCCCATTAAATTCATAGATTCATGGAATGGTTTGGGTTGAAGGGACCTTAAAGCTCCTCCAGCTCCAACCCCTGCTCCCACGGGCAGGGACCCCTTCCACTAGAGCAGCTTGCTCCAAGCCCCTGTGTCCAACCTGCCCTTGAACACTGCCAGGGATGGGGCAGCCACAGCTTCTCTGGGCACCCTGTGCCAGCGCCTCAGCACCCTCACAGGGAAGAGCTTCTGCCTAAGAGCTCATCTCAGTCTCCCCTCGGGCAGGTTCAAGCCATTCCCCTTGGCCTGTCCCTCCATCCCTTGTCCCAAACCCCTCTCCAGCTTTCCTGCAGCCCCTTCAGGCACTGGAGCTGCTCTCAGGTCTCCCCTTCAGGAGCCTTCTCTTCTCCCGGCTGCCCCAGCCCAGCTCTCTGTGTCCTTTTATGACCAGATGCCATTTAAACCACAAAAGCTGGGTTCCCCTCATGAGGGATCAGGCTGCATGGGGGAGGTTGGAAGACGCACGCTCCAGATTCAGGATAAAACACAGCTTATTCCCACTCTGCTGCAGGTCAGGAAATCCTCAGCATTTGGCAAGAACACAAAGCCAGGGAGAAGTCTCCAGCAAGGAGCTGCAGACACACTGCACGGAAGGCGCTGGACCATGGCAGCCTAGCAGCCATGTACGGGGAGAGCCCCTGCCCACAGGCACCCACCACAGGGAGCAGCAAGCAAACACGCTGCAAGCAGTGACTCATGAGCTGTGGAGGATGGATAAAGCTCCGGGACATCAGCACTTCATCGCTACCTGACGTGCTGCTGACTCCTCTTCCCACAGGTGAGCGCGAGGGGATGGACCAGAAACCACACGCACCAACACGCCTCCAGCAGCAGCACTTGGCAGGCGAGTCGCTGTCTGCCAGCGCTGTTCTCAGAACTGCTGTGACTTCATCCCTCTGGGATGGGCAGCTCGGGGGCTGGGGGGCTGCTTTGGGGTTTTTTTTGTGGTACTGGCACCTATTTTTGTTGCAACACCCAAAGGTGAGAGAGTTCAGAGCCTTCTGAATGCACAGGTTTCAAAACAGCTCAGATCCGTTGTGGGGAAAAGGAGTGATGAGAGCAAGCCACAGAACCCAGCCTGGTTTGGGTTGAAGGGAGCTTAAAGCTCCTCCAGCCCCAAGCCCTGCCACGGGCAGGGACCCCTTCCACCAGAGCAGCTTGCTCCAAGCCCCTGTGTCCAACCTGGCCTTGAACACTGCCAGGGATGGGGCAGCCACAGCTTCTCTGGGCACCCTGTGCCAGCACCTCAGCACCCTCACAGGGAAGAGCTTCTGCCTAAGAGCTCAGCTCAGTCTCCCCTCGGGCAGGTTCAAGCCATTCCCCTTGGCCTGTCCCTCCATCCCTTGTCCCAAGCCCCTCTCCAGCTTTCCTGGAGTCTCTTCAGGCACTGGAGCTGTTCTAAGGGTCTCCCCTTCAGGAGCCTTCTAGGGGCTGGACACAAACCCTGCTGCATTTTCTCCCTGTGCGTTTCCCTACAAACACCAGTGCTGGCTCCTCGTCGGGCACCACTTCCAGAGCAGCTCTTCCCACCCTGCCCCAAAAGCCCCAACCCACCCAACCTACCCCTGCCTCTACTTCCAGCGGCTCCTTCCCCGCTACCACCGGGTGCAGCCCCAGGGCACCAACACCGCTACCACCCTGGTGCTACAGGAGTCCCCGCGGGCCCTGCGCCCAAAGGGCTCCGACCTGGAGGTGACTTAGCGCTGCCGCAATGCCCCAGCAGCACATCCCCGTCCCAGGGAGCGCGCGGGAGGTGAGAGTTACCCGTCTGGGACACGAGGAGGCGTTGAACTCGTCGCCGATGCGGCGCAGCTCCTGCGCGATCCACATCTCGGGCTGGACGTCTTCTGCTCGCGACGGAGACTGCCAACGGGAGGCTGCGGGGAGCAGAGAGAGCACCTGGGTGAGACACGGGGCAACGGGAGAGCACAGGGGGCAAACTGCGGGGTCCTGGCAGCGCTCAGGGCCAGGTTGGACACAGGGGCTTGGAGCAAGCTGCTCCAGTGGAAGGGGTCCCTGCCCGTGGGAGCAGGGGTTGGAGCTGGAGGAGCTTTAAGGTCCCTTCAACCCAAACCAGACTGGGGCTCTGTGAGTCTATGAGAAGGCAAAGCACTACTGGGCTTTTATTCATTCATCTTTTATAGGCTTCCCTCAGGAGCATCTCTGGCGTATCCAAGCTCTTAAATAGAACCATAGATTAGTTAGGGTTGGAAAGGACCTTAAGATCATCCAGTTCCAATCCCCCTGCCATGGGCAGGGACACCTCACACTAAACCAGGGCACCCAAGGCCTTGTCCGACCTGGCCTTGAACACTGCCAGGGATGGAGCATTCACAACCTCCCTGGGCAACCCATTCCAGTGCCTCACCACCCTCACAGAAAAGAATTTCCTCCTTAGATCCAATCTAAACTTCCCCTGTGTAAGTTTGAACCCGTTACCCCTTGTCCTGTCACTACAGTCCCTAATGAAGAGTCCCCCCTCAGCATCCCTATAGCCCCCTTCAGACACTGGAACAGGGAGGAGAGCCAAGAAGCCTCTGCAATTCCTTCCATAGCAAAACCCTTCTCTTCTCTCTCCTTCTCAGCAACTTCCTTGCCTTGTGGGCACAGCAGCAACTCCTCCTCTAGCCTTAAAACCCCTCTGCGTGGATCACTTAATCCAATTCTCACATCTCCTCCCCAGACGGCTCCGAAGCGCCCAACAAGAAACCGGGGAACGCCTGGCTCTGTCGGACTGAGGACAAAGCCACAACTGGGGCTGCGTGCACAGAAACCACGGGGAGCTTCCACCTGCAGAACGCTGCCCTCAGAGAGCATCTCCCTGCACCGCAGCACAAAGGAAACCCCACACAAGGGAACGGCGCTGGTTTCTAGAGGAAAAGCAGCTTTTGGGTCAGTATGCGCTCCTAGACAGAAGTATTTCAGGCTCTGTTTTAAGGAGTTCTAGAACACATGGTAAAGGCACTGCACTGAGGATAAGCGGAGGAGAAAGGAGCCCGTGACGGAGCAGAACCCCCGATGGTACCTGCACCACCACCTTCCCCTCCTGCCAACCCAAGCGCAGGATCCAAGCGGGAATCACAGCTTTAAGGAAGAGAAACCCCAACAAAACCCAAGCAGAGAGGACAAACCAACCCCACACAGCCCCACACACCCCCTCGGCACCAAACCAACCCCACACAACCCCACACACCCCCTCGGCACCAAACCAACCCCACACAGCCCCACACACCCCCTCGGCACCAAACCAACCCCACACAACCCCACACACCCCCTCGGCACCAAACCAACCCCACACACACCGTCAGCACCAAACCAACCCCACACAACCCCACCCCCTCGGCACCAAACCAACCCCACACAACCCCTCAGCACCAAACCAACCCCACACAACCCAAACCTCTCAGCACCAAACCAACCCCACACACCCCCTCGGCACCAAACCAACCCCACACACACCGTCAGCACCAAACCAACCCCACACAACCCCACCCCCTCGGCACCAAACCAACCCCACACAACCCCTCAGCACCAAACCAACCCCACACAACCCAAACCTCTCAGCACCAAACCAACCCCACACAACCCCTCAGCACCAAACCAACCCCACACAAGCCAACCCCCTCAGCACCGAACCAACCCCACACAGCCCCGGCACGGAGCCAACCCCAGCGCGCTGGCAGGCGGGCTGCCAGGGAGCCACAAGGGAACCGCAGCAGCTCCCAGGCTCGGGGCAGCCGAGGGCTCAGCGAGGCAGTGACCGAGTAAATGAAGGCTTTCACTGAGGGCCTGGCTCCGACCTGCCTGGAAAACGCGCTGGGGAGCCAAGCCCATCCCGCTGGCTGCGGGCTCGGGTTTGCTTTCACGCCGTAGTAGCGCAGGACACGGCCCGCAGCCCGCAGCCCGCAGCCCGCAGCCCTTCCTCGCCGCTCAATGAACGCCCTCGCGATATTCCAGCCCGGAATGCAAACAGGATCCCAGCTGGGGCGGGGCGAGCATCCCAGGGCCACTGCTGTGCCCAGAGCCAGCCCGCGCTGCCCGGGAGCAGAGGAAACACCGTGGGGATAGGGCAAAGAGGTGCAACGGGACACAGGGATGGATGGATGATGGATGGATGGATGATGGATGGATGGATGATGGATGGATGGATGATGGATGGATGGATGATGGATGGATGGATGATGGATGGATGGATGATGGATGGATGGATGATGGATGGATGGATGATGGATGGATGGATGATGGATGGATGGATGATGGATGGATGGATGGATGGATGGATGGATGGGGAAACGTACTGCTCCTCTCCATCCTTTGCCTGCTCTCATTCTCCATCCTTTACCCAACAACCAGGTTGGAAAAGCCCTTTAAGCTCCTCCAGTCCAACCGCTCCCCAGCACTGCCAAGGCCACCGCTAACCCATGGCGCTGAGGGACCCATCTACACAGCATCCTCTCCTCCATCCCTTGCCCCTCTCCTCCTCCATCCCTGGTCTCCCTTCTCCTCCCCCTGTTGCCCCCCCCCCCCAGCATCATGCCCAAGAGCTCACCGGCTCGGGCTGCAGGCTGGGGTTGGTGGCTGAGAGTGAAATCGGGCTGAGGTTTTCAGAAAGGACTTTCTGTGGTGCTGCCGAGTGGCAGCTCAAAAGGGTCCAGTCATAACTGGCCCCAGAACCAGTCAGAGCTGCTTTCGGGGGGGTGGCAGTACCGCGATGCAGCGCCTGCCACCCGTGGCACGATGGCTGCAGTGGGGATGGGGACACGGGGTGACAGCCACCGGCACCCTGGGTGCCTGCACCTCGCTGTAGAACACGGGATGCTCCAGCCGGGACTGGCACGGGGATGTCACGGTCCCTGATGAGAGGAGGAAAAAGAAACAACCCCAAACTCAGAGCTGGAGCCAGGCTGAGAGAGCTGGGCTGGCGCAGCCTGGAGAAGAGAAGGCTCCTGAAGGGGAGACCTGAGAGCAGCTCCAGTGCCTGAAGGGGCTGCAGGGAACCTGGAGAGGGGCTTGGGACAAGGGATGGAGGGACAGGCCAAGGGGAATGGCTTGAACCTGCCAGAGGGGAGACTGAGCTGAGCTCTTAGGCAGAAGCTCTTCCCTGTGAGGGTGCTGAGGAACCGGATGAGCTTTAAGGTCCCTTCCAACACAAACCAGCCTGGGATTCCATGATAGCTGCACCTCCACCTCCCAGGCTTGATGATCCAAACACTCCAGGAGAAGCTCCTTGGCAATGGCTTCAGATGAAGCACGTGCAAAGCTCAGGGAGAAAACAGCAGCAGCTCCAAAACAAGAGCAACAGGAACACCACCAGCAGCTTCTCGGCTCAAGGTTTCCCCCTTCCATTCACCTGTTACACCCAGGGTTTCCCCTCTGCAGGCAATGAGAGGTTCATGCTGCTTTGCTCCCCTATTCCACAGGGCAAGGAAACACACCAGGATCAAAACAGCACCGGGAAAACCCATTTACAGAGCACCTCCCAAATCCCACCTGCAAGCCCTGCACTCCTGTGCCTTCAGACAGAGCTGCTCTTCAACCAAAAACCCAACAGAAGAAAATGACAGCTCCTGTGAAGAGCCAAAGGCTTGAAACACCAGCCTAAGGCGCACACAACCACCCCAAAGGGGGGGTGTCATGTCTTGGGTGTCTTGATGGCAGAACCACTTTACCATACCCTTCTGCAAAACCCAGGCTCATCTTGTTCTGTGCCTCCAATAAACTCATCCCTGCTCATCCCCGTGAGCACCTTCCTGTACACACCGAGCCAGCACCTCAACCCTTCCCACTCCCATCCCAAACCATCCCCTCGCTGCTTCAGTCTTATCTTCCCCCCACGTTAGCTTTGGAGGCAGCAGCACCCCTTTGAGAAGCAAAACAGCCCAAAGCATCGCTGCTGCCACCTCCATGGCTGGCACAACCCCTCCTCCAGCAATCAGCTCACACAACCAAAGGCATCCCCAGCTCCCCAGGGTCCCATTCACCTCTTCCGTGGCATTTAGCTCTTATTTGGCCCATCACCACTGGAACCTTTGGGGAGGTTCGATGGGATTTAGGAGAGGAAGCTTCAGGGCAGAGCATGAGCTTGGGAGCAGTCGACCGCTGCCCACGGGAGGGGCCAGGAGCACCCATTGCATGCAAACTGCTCCTGCTCACAGGAAACGCCTGTTTATTGTCATCACCATCATTAAAGGCCACTTGCTTACGCTTCCCAGAGCGGCCTCAGCCCCAGCACACACAGAAATCAGCACGGGAGAACAGAACAAAGAATGAGACCCTTCTCTTCCTCGCAGAGGGACTGACCGCTTCCATGCGGAAAGCTTAACGGTGGGACACTGCCGAGGGAAGGGATGGAGGAAGAGCCGCGCAGGGCAACCCCACAGCCCCTTCCCACCAATGGGAAGTGCAGCCCTCACTGGGGATAAAACACTCAAACTCAGTCTGTGAGTAGCCAAGGGTCCCGTTTAAATACCTCGAGTATTTTCCATCTGCTTATAGCTGTTTCGAATGATGCCCTTAGCAACAATAACAGAACAAAGGCTGTCGTAAACCCAGCGTTTCAACAGCTTTTCTGCAAGCAGGAGGCTCAGGAGGAGCGAGGAAAACTCCAAGTTCTTCCTGGAGCCCCAAAACCCAAAGCCACTTTGCTGCCAAACGGCTGGCTGGGGCTCTCCAACATCCTTGCCCGTCTTTGCCACGTGTGTTTGCGCTACTCGAGGTTGTGAAACTTGCATTAGGCTGTAATTACTGCAATAAGGGCAGAAAACCTTTCCTAAGGGCATCTCGCAGGCAGCCCGACAGAGCTGTAACCGCAGCCATTACCCAGGGAGGGGAGAAAAACAACCCAAGCACAACAAAAAGGAGCTGCTCCGAGGCTGCAAAGCTTGGAGTCGGCGCTGGGCATCCCCGGGGCAGCGCTACCGGTGCGGCATCCCCCGTGCGCGCACCGTCCCCTCGCTCCGGTGAGGGGGCATCAGGCCGGAGGAGGGCACGGCGGGGCCGGCAGGCTCCCTGCCCACCGCCAGCCCCGGCCTTACCTGGGAAAGCCGCTCGGGAGCGGCACCGGAGCCTGCGGGACCCGGCGCGGAGCGCTCGGGAGGAGCGCAACGGGAGCCAGCGGCTGCTCCGCCCCCGGGCAGCCGCGCACGGAGCCCGGCCGAGGGCACCGCACAAAGGAGCGAGAGCTCGGGCCCTGCTCCGGCGGCCGGGACCGACCCATCCCGGAGAGGAACAACAACAACAACGGGAGCAAGAACCGCGGCAGCGGCGCCGGGAGAGCGGGGGCTCGGCGGCAGCGCTCCCTCGGCCATCTTGCGGGGATCCCACGCTCCCGGCTGCTCCCAGCCGGAGCCGCGGCCCCTCGGAGCGCTCCTGGCACCGGCTCAAGGACCCGGCAGCGCCTTTCGCAACCGGCCCGCAGGTACGGCGGGGGCTGGGGCAGGACGGGGGAACCGGGAAGCGATTCCGCCCTGTGAGGGTGCTGAGGCGCTGGCACAGGGTGCCCAGAGAAGCTGTGGCTGCCCCATCCCTGGCAGTGTTCAAGGCCAGGTTGGACACAGGGGCTTGGAGCAAGCTGCTCCGGTGGAAGGGGTCCCTGCCCGTGGGAGCAGGGGTTGGAGCTGGAGGAGCTTTAAGGTCCCTTCCAACCCAAACCAGGGTCCTACCCGCGGTGGGACGCGGGAGGTGCTCTCCGCCCTGCAGGTGCACAGCAGCGCGCACACGGCTGCAAACCCCGGGTGCAAGGGACACGAGGAGCCGAAGGTGCCGCCACGGGGCGGGGGATGCAGGGCCCGGTGGCAGGGGCGCTGCGGGGTGCTCGGTGCCCTCCGCCCCGCGCATCTTCCCCCCCCCCCCGCGCCCGCACACTCACCCATGGCGCTGAGGCAGTGGCTGAGCGCCTGGCAGGGGGGGCTCGGGGTCTGCGTGGCCTTGTCGCAGCTGAGGGGCGCGGGGCTGCGCTCGGCGTCGAACGAGAAGTACCCGCTGGAGGAGCGCGACAGCAGCGGCGACCTCCGCACGAAGATGAACAGCGGCGACCGAGTGGCGAAGGGCCCGGGGCTGGCGGGGGGACCCCGCTGTGGCGGAGGCCCCGCGGTGGCGGAGCCCGGCAGGGCTGCGGGAGCGCCGGGGCGCAGCTGCGCGGCCGGGCCCGGGCCCTCCCCGCCGTCGCCGTCGCGTTGCGCCTTCACCTCGGGGGGCTGCTTGGCCATGGGGGCTGCCTGCGGGAGGAGCGCGGCGCCGTGAGGCGGCGGCACCGGCAGCGCCTGCCCCTGCCCCGGCGCGGCCCCTCCCGCCCGGCCCCATTGTTCTGCCGAAAGTGCTGAGCCGGCAGCTCCGCTCCGCGCCGCCCCCCGCCCGCCCGTACCCCCCCCCCCGCTCACCCGCCCCGTCCCCTCGCCCCGCTCACGGTGTCCCCGCCGGCTGCAGGCGGAGCGGGGCGCCCGAGCCCCGGCTGGCGGCGGTGAGCGCGGACCCGACCCTGCCGCGCACCCCGCTCCGCGCCCTGCACCGCCCCGTGTTTACAGCGCGGCCGCGCTCCGCCCCGGCAGCTCCGCACCGCCCCCGGCCCGCCCCGGCCGCCAGCGCCGGACCTGACCCCCCCCTCCCGCCCCGCGCAGCCGCCGTGCGCTGGGCACCGACGGGCGCCACCCCCGGACCCCGCTCGGCCGCGCTGCGCCGGGCACCCGCACCCGCACCCTCCCCCGGCTGTGCACAGAGCCCTGCCCTGTGCTACAGCACCCGCAGCCCTGCACCGCGCCCCGGTGCTCACCCCCGTGCTCCAGGCCCTGCACCAGCTCCATTCCCTTCTCTGTCCCTGCTCCAGCCCCTCAATGTCTCTCTCGCAGTGAGGGCTCCAGAACTGAACACAGGATTCAAGGTGCAGCCTCACCAGTGCCCAGCACAGGGGCACAATCCCTGCCCTGGCCCTGCTGCCGCACTGGTGCTGATCCAGGCCAGGATGCTGGGGGCTTCCTGGCTGCCTGCGCACGAGCTGCTCATGTTCAGCTCCATCACTCAGCACCCCCAGCTCCTGTTCGTGAGCAGCTTTCAGCCACCGATTCCACTGGTAGCTCTGGAGCTGGGGCGCGGGGACCCCTCCATCCCACCAGCACCCCTTCTCCCCAGCCGCAGGCAGTGGTACCCAGCGCTTCACCATCCGCAGAGCCGCAGGACTCTGCTCCCTAGGCAGCACCTCACCCATCAGCGCCGCTCCCCAGCCACTGCGCCCATGGAGGTGCACGTGTGAAGCCTGAGGGTGATGCTGGTGTCTTCAACACCCACCCCAGTGGGAGCCAGCCAGTACCCCTGCTGTCCAACACTTGCTAACTCCGGTGCCGCTCACTCTTCCTCCCCTGGGCGGGAGGGGATTGTCCGTAGCCGATGTCCATGTCCGTGGCCTGTTTAGCAATAAAGCAGAACCTTTGTCACCTTGAAACCAGACCTGGGGCTACCGCTTGTGCTGTCTGTGCACTTGTCCTGCGTGTAAATCTGCATCCTGCTCTGCCAAGATACTTCTGATTCACCGCGCGATGCCAACAGGAGGGTCAGTGAGCAACCTGCGCCAGGGGAAGGGGTCCCTGCCCGCGGCAGGGGTTGGAGCTCGTGGGGCTTTAAGGTCCCTTCAACCCCTCCATGATTCCAGACATGAAAACAAGCGCTGGTGACACCCCAAGGAGCCCCGCCGGAGCCTGGCTCATGCCAAGCTGTGCTGGCAGAGATCCGGGCGAGCAGCGGCGGTGCTGGGGACATCTTGTCCCCCAGCTGCCACGGTCAGGGTGTGCCTTTATCAGCCCCGCCGCCAGCACCGATGGGCTGCAGGGCTGGTCCTGCTGCAAACCATGGGGCAAACATCTCCATTCCCCTGGCCTTAGGAGGTGGCAAGGGTGAAATCCCGTGGTCAGCCCCCAAACCAGCCCCACCCGTGGGTGACGTGTAAGGTCCCAGGCTGGTCTAATGCACTGATTACACTAAGCAGCTGCCCCAGCTCCAGTGGCTCTGCCCCCATCCCATCACAGCATTCCAATGGGATGGGAAGGAAAGTCACAGAATCAGCCAGGCTGGAAAAGCCCTTCAAGCTCATCCAGTCCAACCGGTCCCCAGCCCTGCCAAGGCCACCACTGCCCCATGGCACTGAGGCCTCGTCTCCACGGGGTGTGAACACTCGCAGGGACGGTGACTGCAGCCCTGCCCTGGGCAGCCGGTTCCAATGCCTGAGCACCCTCTGGGGCAGGAATTGTTCCTCAGCTCCATCTAAACCTGCCCTGGGGCAGCTTGAGGCCGGTTCCTCTTGTCCCATCCCTTGTTCCTTGGGAGCAGAGCCCAGCCCCTCCTGGCTCCATCCTCCTCTCAGGCACTTGTAGGGAGCCATCAGGTCCCCCCTGGGCCTTCTCCACACTGAACCTCCCAGGTCCCTCAGCCCTTCCCCATCACCCCTGTGCTCCAGGCCCTGCACCAGCTCCGCTGCCCTTCTCTGGCCCCGCGCCAGCAATAAGGGCCTAGGGGTGTCTGTGAGGGGAAAAATAATTGGGAAATTCATTAGGAAAACTCACTGGGGAAGAATGTGAGGGCCGTGACTGCAGCAGGGAACGGCTGCAGGGTCCCTCCTGCTCGCAGCGCTGTCCCCGCTGCGCAGGCTGGCGCTGCCTCTGTTTTCCCTTCCCGGCTCCTCCTGGTCCCTGTGCAGGGGCTCCCAGGAGCAGGAAGGTGCTGGGGAAGCTCTTTGGAGCACCCTGCCCTGCAGACCCCTCCCGTGAGCGGCAGCCGCAGCCCTGCGCGGGCCCGGCCGTGGCTGTGACCTCCCGGGGCTCAGCCCTGGTGCTCCCGGTGCGTTGCTCCCCCGTGAGTCACAGCCCAGCCTCCTGGAACAAATCTGTTTCGACTTTGGCCTCGTCCCTGTTGCCGTGCCCCAGCGCGGAGGCATCTGCGCCCCAGCCGCGTCCCAAAGGTCAGCTCCTTCCTGGTGCCACGCTCGGATGGACGGAGATGGAGCGTGCAGCTCCTCCTCTCGCCGCCGCCTGCATCCCTGGAGCATCCGCACCCCAAGCCCCTCGGGGACGCCGCGATGGAGGCGCCACATCCCAGCCCTCATCCTGCCGCGCTAATGGCCAATTAAGCAAAGCTCCCCCTGGACCTGCTGGCACCCGTGTCACTGAGGTGGCAGCAGCCGTAGGGCGCTTGCCTGCCTCCAGATGGAAATGAGGAGGGAGCACTTAGAGGGGAGGTGCAGAGGGGTGAATGATGAGGAGGGGGAGGATCCCGTACCACTGCAGCATCCTGGTCCCCTCTGCGCTATCCCACATCGGGAAGCGTGCAGGGATGAGGGATGGAGGAAAGGGGATGATGCCTGCTTGAAGGGGAAGCACTTGCCCATCACAGCCCCAGTGAGCTGAAAACCCCCATGGGGAAAAACTATCCCAAAATCAACCCCCCGAGGAGCAGTCGCTCATCAAACCCAGCTTTAACTACACCAATGCAAAGCAATGACTTCTCCAGCGCGTTGTGATGAACGTTGTTCGCTCAGCGCTGCAGATAAGATCAAGTTTAAGCTGCGTGCCCACAAGACAAAGCTTTATCTAAGCTGGCTTTGGAGCCTGACCTTTACTGTGGTGCGTTCTGAGCGCTGCAAGCATCCAGCCCTGGGAACACGGGAGCAGCCACAGCACCCAAGAGGGGTGGCCGGGAAGGAGAGAAAGGAAGAAGAGGAGGATTTCCTGGCTGGGATGGAGGAAGCGCTGCAGGGCTCGGTGGAGCAGGACAAGCAGCGGCACATGTGGGGCACAGATGTGGGGAGAGCAGCCGTGGGATGGCATTGACCTGCACCGGGCTCAGCACCTGCGGCTGACACCACCAGCACTGAGAGACACCAAACCCTGTGCCCCAACCCACTCTCCCACACAGGGGTGAGCCAGAGCCTCAGCACCCTCACAGGGAAGAGCTTCTGCCTAAGAGCTCAGCTCAGTCTCCCCTCGGGCAGGTTCAAGCCATTCCCCTTGGCCTGTCCCTCCATCCCTTGTCCCAAGCCCCTCTCCAGCTTTCCTGCAGCCCCTTCAGGCACTGGAGCTGCTCTCAGGTCTCCCCTTCAGGAGCCTTCTCTTCTCCAGGCTGCCCCAGCCCAGCTCTCTCAGCCTGGCTCCAGAGCAGAGCTGCTCCAGCCCTCGCAGCATCTCCATGGCCTCCTCTGGCCTCCCTCCAACAGCTCCACGTCCCTCTTGTGCTGCTGCCCCAGAGCTGGATCAGGACTGCAGGGGGGGTCTCCCCAGAGCACAGCAGAGGGGCAGGATCCCCTCCCTGAGCTGCTGCTCACGCTCTGGGGGTGCAGCCCAGCACACAGGGGGGGTTCTGGGCTCAAGCGCTCACTGAAGCAGGGTCATGGGGAACTTCTCTTCCCCCAACACCCCAAGTCCTTTCCCTCAGGACTGCTCCATCCAGCCTCCATCAGCTTGTGTTTGTGCTGGGGATGGCTCCAACCCAGGACCTTGCCGAGTTCCATGAGGCTTGCACTGTCCCACCTCTCCAGGTCCCTCTGGATCCCATCCCTTCCCTCTGGCCTGCATTCACCCACCCACAGTGGGGACGGACCAAGGGACAGCCCCTCAGCAGCATGAACCTCTTCTGGAGGCAGGGGGGGCTGAGAACAGCCCTGTCATGACCTGAGTGGTCCCTGGGCTGGGACATGCCCAGGGCAGCATCACTGTGATCACTGATGGCCTAAGTGAGTTTGTTACATGGATAATGGGCACTTCAGACTGGATGAAGGTAGTCGTTGCTCCTACGACGCCATGGGTGACGTTAGTGCCTCACCTGTAGGGAACCAGGACCACTGCTTCCTTAGGGTGCATCTGATGAATGAGGGAGGTACCTACAACTGTTAATAAATATAATTTGGGGTTATTAACACCTTAAAAATTGAAATTGAGGAATTTTGCCTGATTTTAGGGTGATGTTGGCCCCCCAGGAGGTACTCGGCAATGGGTTGCTACCAACAAGCAAGGGAGAACCCGGGCCAGAGCAAGCCCCAGACCCCGGCTGGGGGCCCTGGGTTGCCACTGAGGCCCAAGGTGATGGCAGAGGATGAAAAGTGCCTGAACTTGGGTTTTCTGCAGAAGAAAAGGCCACCCACGGCAGGAAACCTCTGCTCCCGTGTGGGTGGTGGAGGCCCCGAGATGAGTTATCTCTAAAGGGCAACACTGGGGATACCTGGAGATCTTCATCAGTGAGCCGGGGAAGAGAGCTCAGCATCCCCAGTGGGGGTTTGGGCTCCTGGGGCCAGGGGTGTTGTCACAGCTCTTATTTTAGCAGCTTATTTTCAGCTCAGGTAGAAAACAGGAGCCTCCACCCCACCCAGGGCAACTGTGCGTGGAGCTGGTCCCATGGCTGTCATGCGTTATCCCTCCTCCTTCGCCATGGGATGCTCATGCGAGGGGACGGCAGGAAGAGGTGCCCAGCATAGGGGAGTTCTTTAAGGGTGTTT